CTCTCTCTCTCTCTCTCTCTCTCTCTCTCTCTCCTACTCCGACTCTCTCGCTATCTCTTTAGCTCTAATTTCTAACCCATTTCAATTCATTCGCTAATTTGGTTCAAGCATCCCTTTTATATACAAATTGATGAGGTCTGTCGTTTGCATTTGGCAATTTTGGTCACTTGCAGACTTGTAGTCAACCCCAATTTGGTCTATTTTTTGTATTGTAATGTTACTATGATACTTATACTTATTTTAGTTTATTCTTTGTATAATATTGTTAGTGTGATATACTTATTGTGGTTTGGTTTGTGTTTAGACCTTTGTTGTTGAACATATGGTGAAAAATACACCGACATAAGGTGCACCATCGATGAAAGATGAGTCAGTTTCATGTCAGATCTCAAAACTGAAAAGGAGTTCTCCGAGAAGTTCAAATGGGACAGCTACTGCTGGTAGAGCCCAATGTAAATATTGCTCGAAATCACTAATTAGAAATTGTAGAACCGGAGAACCTCGACCATCTAGAGCTAGAGAGGGAGTTGTTGGATCACATAAATGGGGCTATAAATGTGTTACTTGAAGGAATGGAGCTTGTGCACTTCTTCATCATATGTTTGTTTGTAAGTTTCATCCAAATGTTATGCCTTGATGACAAATTGAAATTTAAGAATTACTTCAAAAGATGTAGAAACACAATTTCTATTGCAACAGACACTTGAACTTTCGTACAAAGATTAATTATATGTGTATCATTGCCCAATTACATTGTTGAAAAAAAAAGATCATCAACTTTTTTTCCCACTAAGTGTCATAAGGGTGAGGATTCAATAAGGGAAATAGACTGTTGCTACGTGATTGGGGAATTTCTAAGGTTTTTTTTCTATCTTTATTGATAATGCATCTTCCAAAATTAAATGTCTTACATACCTGAAAAACATATTGAGTTCTTGTGGTTGTGTTTTTTCAAAAGGCAAGTTTGTTTATATGAGGTGTGTTGTTACCCAATTTTGGCCTCGCCTATTAAAATGTTACGCGTGGATATATATATATATATATATATATATATATATATATATATATTAAATAAATATAAAATAGCAGGTTTCTCTGTCTTATTTATATTGACCGAGTTCCCTGAAGTCAAGACAGTCCACATCCAAAACCAAACAGAATTCAATGCCGCCAGCTCAAACCAGGTATCACAAAGAAGCCACTTAGGCAGACACGTCAATTGCTGACAAGACAAATGCCAGTCGAAGTGTCAGTCAATGTCATTATTTATTATAATTATTAGGCCCTGCGCGGTCATATTTATTAGGACCCTGCGCGGTCATATTTTATTAATTACATGTATGTTGTGAAAGCCCATTAGATATACGGGCCCATATTAGCTCAAATATAAAGATGTATAAATATGGGCTAAAGAGATAAGTCTGAGGGTTTTTTCACTCTCCTTTCCCTTATCAAAAACAGAGGCACCGCCTCTCTACTGCTTCTTCTTCTTGGAGAATCTTTTCAACACACAAAAAATAAAGATTTTCTTCTTCAAATCTTTATCATTGATCAACACCAAAACATAAGAAAAAGGGATAGATTTTCATCTCCCAAAAATTACTGAAAATTCATATGTATCTTACACCGATTATTCACAGAATAGGGATGTATATTTTTGTTGTTACAATTTCGTATAACAATAGTTTGGCGCTAGAGGAAGAGCCCGTAATTTATTCGGGTTAACCTTGGCCAGAAAACAGCCGCATATGATCAATCCAAGTTAAGCAAAATTACTCTTCTTCTACTTTGATT